AAAGTCGTAGAAAACCCGAAGGTATAGACAGGATCAAAGGATAAATCATCAACACAATCCAACTAGACCCCATGTCCCAGAATCCTCAATCTCTTGCGTTCCATCTTCCAGCAATTGCAACTATCCATAAACTTCCAGTCCATATCAAGTCCTTCCCATCAGGTGTTGTCCAAAAAAAGTCCAGAATATGCAAAAAAGATAAAATAGTAATCAGTACATAAATATTCAGACTAAAGAGCCTGTAAATCTGGGATGATCTAAGTATATTTTTGCCTTCATTCATCGTAGGGTCCTTCCCACTTTGGTTGCCCGTAGGCCATCAAAAAAGTGGGTAGAAGGTGATCATCATAGTCCACAGCCCAATAACCTGCATATCGGGCTTAAGGATACCACAGAGACATTCAAACAGATCTAGATCAGCGACATAGGTGAGACAGGCATCAAGATAATTTGACACCAAAATTCCCAAAGCAACTCTATTCAACAATGTCATAATTTCAAACAGGAAATCAGCACCACCCTTCAATAGTCATAGATAATAGGAGATATCATCAATATACCAAATTCAACGCTTCTTTTATCACAATGCCATTCTTCCATCCCAATAGTTTGATAATAACAACTTTCGAGATCTTCTTGATCAGAGAATTAGAACATGAAGCAATAGACTTAAACTTTCTATTGTTCCTTTCTATCCAAATGAAGTAGATAGAAGCATTAAAAATGAGGAGGATGCCATTTTTATAGCTCTTAGGCATATCCATATTTTCAATATGTTGAAAGGCTAAAAAAATCGTTGGTCTGAAGTAATAAGTTTGAAATGAAGGTATGAGATTTTGGAGCACTTTAAAAGAGTAATCACATTCGAACAGAATATGAGAAGTGGTCTCCAAACTATTGTGACAAAGAGAACAAGTATTATCTGAAAAATGAATGTTTCTCCAACCTAACACATCACAAGTTTTTAACCCTCCTTTGAGAGCCATCCACGAGTATACAAAAAATCTCAAAGCATGGTTCTTCTGCCAAACCATATGATGCCAATCGACTTTTACATCATTAGAAAAATAATATAAATAGAAATCCCTAAATTTGGCATTCCCTGTCCAGTCCCAACTTATATGATACTTATTATCAGAATTAATAGGAATATTCAGAATGAACTCCCTAATGGAAGGTTTCTCAAATACCGGGATGTTCTAAACATCTTGCTGAATCCAAGTAGCTAACTGAGTATTCTTTACAATGTTAGTGGGAAAATTATGAAATTTATCAAGGATTGTTTCCCCTAAACACCAATGATCCCATAAAATAGAAATTGGGCTGTTATTAGTAATGGAAAAAATGAATTTCTCCCTAGCAATTTCAGCCGTATTACAAATATTTTTCTAGAAAGCAGTTGCAGTGTTCGTGACAGGTTTCCAAGGACTGCTATATCTCGCAAGACACCACTTAGCAAGACGAGAATTAGTGTTATAGGATCTCAAAATAATATCGCAATTTAAAGCAAAGTTTAAATCTTGTAAAGAAGCAATACCAAGTCCATCATAAGAATACGATTTACATGTATTATTCCAAGAAATCAAATGTAATTTCTTGCTATCAGTCTCCCCATGATATAGAAAATTAGAGCATAACTTACTAATATGTTTGTAAATAACTTTAGGCAAAGTCATGCTCCTAATCCAATAAGCTATAGTGTTAGTGATAGTGTATTTAATGTATTGCATTCTACCAGCAAAGGAGAGCATCTTCGCCTTCCAACCAGCCAATAAAGTGATTATTTTCTCTATCAAAGGGGCAAAGTCAGACACCTTAGTCCCACCCAAAGATATAGGAATACCCAAGTAATTAAACCGATCAGAAACATTATGAATTTGAAGCATATTAGAAATGTCATTAGGACAAGAAACACTTCGGGAAATAATGAGAGAACTCTTATGCAGGTTCATGTGAAGTCCCGTGAGCATAGAGAACAATTTAATAACCCTCATAAGCTTGTCACAATTGTTAGAATCCGCCTTTCCAATAACCAAAAGATCATCAGCATAAGCAAGGTGAGTTAGCTGGAAAATTTTCAGTTTAAAGCCTTTAAAACCACTGTACTCAGAATTATACTCTAGTAGACAAGATAGAGCATCCATAATAATACAAAAAAGAAATGGACTTAAAGGACAACCCTGTCTGAGTCCCTTGGATGATGAAAAAAACCCATCCAATGATCCGTCCAGACAAATAGAAAATTGAATATCATTAATACAGGCTTTAACCCAGTTAATAAAAATATTAGGAAAACCCTTGTCAGCCATACGAGCAAAAAGAAAGTTCCTTGAAACAGTATCAAAGGCTTTCTTGATATCATATTTAGCACAAAAGAGATTCAACTTATTATGCTTTTTGAAAAGATTTATAATTTCCCTAGCTAGAATAGGATTATCAGTAGCAATCCTATCAGAAATAAAAACAGCTTGATTATTCTCAATGATATCAGGCATAATGATCTTCATACGACAAGCTAGAATATTTGCAATAATTTGTGAAAAACATTGAAAAGTGATATAGGCCGAAAGTCATGAATATTTTCAGCATGAGATTTCTTAGGAACAAGAGCTATAGCAGTAGCTTTAGCACATTTAGGCAAGTAGCACTTATTGATTGCTTACAAGCTACCTGTTGTTGATATCGTCTCTATTTTGATGCATAACACAGTATGTGGCAGCTAATCTTCTTGTTTTTTCTTTGCCTCTACCTCCTTCCCCTTCGAAACTCGGAACTGCTATGAAACGACTTATTAGCATATTAAGATATCATTTTTGAATGGCATATACATCACATATCCTGGATCAAGTGATTTGGGTTTCCAGCGACCCCGGTATCCTTTCGAAGGATCACTTCAAAAGGCTAGACGACAGGTTTTCCTTTTGTCGGTGAATTTGTTGAAGTGAAGTTATTAGACCAAAAGTATAGCTAGCACCTTACTGTCTTTTGCTGTTCTTTTTGAGCTGAGGTGTGGAGCATTTGATTTCTTGAGGTACTTTTTTGGCCGGGAAAGAAAGGGTAGAAGGATGGGACCTATTATGAGACATACAATGCAATGCATTACAGACATATGATCATTACGCTGAAACCGGGATAGAGAAGGATTTGATAGCCTTACAAACAAGAGGACCTGTAATACTCCACGTTTTCTGATATAAATCAAAATTAAAACCATCAGGTCCAGGTGCCGATTTGGAGCAGCCAGATTTAATAGCCAGATATATTTCTTCATTGGTAACGAGTCTATCTAAAGTAGGAATGGCATTTTCAGGTACCATTTTCCCTTTAGGAATAAGCCTTGTATCATTTAATTCTGGAGGGGCAGAATTATACATATTTTGAAATGATGAATGATACTAAATTGATTGCCATTATCATTATCATCATGCTGATTCATAGCAGCATTTAGAGAGCTACCATTAAAAGCTTTCCTTTTCTTGATTTTGGAGTATAGAAACTTCAAATCTTCTTCTCCATGCTTTAACCATTTAATCTTAGATCTTTGAATGGTCCAGGAAGCATGCAATGAATTGTAGTAGTTAATATTAGCATTAATTCTTTTAAGATCACCACACAATTCCTTATTGAGAGGGTCATTATCAATCATTTTCTGACAAATGTCCTGAGTGACAGCTAAGGAAGCACATTTAATAGCAATGTGATTGGAAGAATTCCAGTTTCTAGTTTAATCTCCCTTTTAAGAAGTTTCAGCTTCTTATAAAGGCTTAAAATAGGATTCCCTTGCTCCGGATATTAAAAAATATTTAATAGAATGCTCCAAAATTCCGGAATATGGCTCCAATAGTTTTTATACATAAACCTCTTAGGGGTATTCTTAGTAGGGACATCTCTGAGAATGAGAGGAGTATGATCAGATACAAGGCTACTCAACACATTATAGTGAGAGTTAGGGAATTGATTGATCCATGTTTCATTCACTAAAACCCGGTCCAACTTAAGATGAATGGGATTATCTTGTCTTTGATTGAACCAGGTATAAAAGTTACCAGTGGAAGGAAGATCAATCAAATTATTATCAAATATAAAGGAATTAAATGGATAAAGCCTATCCATTGTGATAATATTCCCACCTTTTTTCTCTGATCGCATTCTGCAGGTATTGAAATCACCAATCACAGCCCAAGGCAAAGCACCTTGCGGATTGACTTCCCCCAATTCAACCCGAAGCTTATTTCTCTCTTCAAAAGAATTGGAAGCGTAAACAGCAGAAAGGAGCATGATAGTTTGAGACCCCACCATTAAATGACCCGAAATCATTTGAGGAGAAGAATAAATAGGATTAAAATAAAATTTTCCTGAATTCTATTTTATCAAAATGCGTCTAGGAGTAGCAAGATCAAAGTTATTGAAGCTGAGTTCATTATCAAAAATCTTGTGAGTAGAGAAGAACCAAGGGTCCAGAAGATTAGAAGAGAGGATACGATTTTCCAGAATACAAATTAAGTCTAGCTTATGCTCATTGACCAAATTCCTGCAACAGAAATCATTGTCCGGGTTATTGAAACCCCTAATATTCCAGGCAGCCAATGAGGGACAATTCATGAGATACTAGGATTTTTGGTTAGGGCCTTTACGGTTTCCCTTTCCCCTAGTATTTCTATACGAATAAGGTTCAGAAGAGTTCATCATTTTGGTATTAGAATTACCAATAATTTCTTTCTTGCTCTTAGCAGAGTACCCTTTGGAATCTTCCATTCCCTCATTATGCAATGATGAAGAGGAATCATCTTCATTATCATCTTGAAGCACACTAAACTTGTTAGCAGAAGTTACTCTATACTCCTTCTGACCATCCAATTGAAACATGGGAATAGAGGTAGAGGAAGTCAAAGAGGTAGGAGAATTGAGATTAGGGATGTTAGAGCTTGCCCCTGCTAAAATATTAGTAGGGACAGAATTTTCAGTCAGCGGACATTGCTCAACATTTTTGTTAATCTTATTTATCTCAGAGTTAAGAACAGCCTCCTCTTTTGTTGGAATATCCACCGCATTAGTTTGGATAGCTGGACTAATGGTAAAATGTTTTGATTAGTCGCCTCAGTAAGAGCATTAGCCGAAGAAGGAATCAAATCATGAACTTTATTCACTGGAATATCTTCAAGATTTTTATCAGATTCACCAGCAATAACAGAATTCTTGTTAGAGGGATTAGGAGTAGGAAGAAGACCTTTCGAGTTTAAGGAGTGAGGTCTAGGTCTGCGGCTAGTGCTTCTCCCTCTAGGAGGGTTAGGAATGTGGTTAATTCCAGGGTTAGGATTAGCAGAACATTTAGAAGAAGAATGATTAAGTGAGCCGCAAAATTCGCATAAGGTAGGACGCCATTCATATTGATTTTTTAAGTTAAAAAGTTTGCCTTCAACACATATAGGTATAGTTTCAGGAAAATTCGCTTTGTCATCAACTTGAACACAAACCCTAGCATAGGTAAGTCTGGACTTAGAAGCAGTAAGAGCGTCAACCGCAAGCGGATGACCTACTTTGGTGGCAATTTTTGATATTCCAATAGGAGTCCAACAACATAAAGGTAGATTATGGATCTTAAACCAGATCGGGACAGATGTAAGTTCTTCACGAGTTGAGGAAAAGTGAGAGTTCCTTTTTTGAAAAACAAAAGGTTTTCCAAAAATAAACCAAGCACCTCTACTCCAAACAAGTTCGTAGTCTTCCGCGTTAGAAAATTTGAACAGAAAAAACCCATCACTAAGAGAGATAAGTTTCAGACTACCTTTAAGATTCCATAGCTTTTTAACCGAGTTAAGAAGCGCCTCATAGTAAGGTCTCTTACCGAGAGAGTAGCCAACAAGCGCCAGATCCCATTCATTAACAGCTTCAGCAATGTCTTCAGTGGAAAAATTGATGATTTCTTCTTCAGTTGGCAAGGGGGATATAAGAAACTCACATGCATTAGAAGTTGGTCCAGAGAGGATGCGATCCCACGAGCGAGAAGACTTGTTTCCCGCAACAGTGGAAGGAAGGAGAGGGCGTGTTAGAGGAGGAAAAGCTTCGTCGAAGACGGAGGGATCCATCGGAACGGATCCCTCCGATCACAACGCCAAGGAAGCACCAAGCGAGTCGCCAAAAACCCTAACCCTAGCAGAGCTCTCGTGACGGCTATATTTTTGAATCAAGTGCTGATTTTGATTCGTTTTGGGTTCCAATCTGTTTTTGGAAACAAAACAAGTGCAGTTTTTTATTTGATTCGAGTTCTAAACTGTTTTTGAAAACAAAACAAGTGCAGTTTTTGATTTGATTTGTGTTCCAAACTGTTTTTGGAAATAAACAAGTGAAGATTTTGATTTGATTTAGGCTCCAAACTGATTTGGAGATGATTTCTTCTATTTGTTTCACTGCCCTATAGCCCCATCTTCTTCATCTTCTTTGTTTTAATCCGGATGGCTAGAGTTGATGAATGGCTCGAGGTTCTATGATTATCTAAAATCTTTCTTTTGGCTGGTTTCTCCCTGTCATTTTTGTTGATGGTGGGCAAGCGCTTGGTTGATCATGGTTCTTTTGCCAACAAATTTTCTTCGAAGTCTTTCTGTGATGCTTTATCTAATGCTTCTTCCCCCTCTCTTTTCCCGAATCTAAAAATAGCTTTCTTCCACTATTTGCTTTCGTTGTGGATTTAGGAACCTGAAATTTTAGCTTTAGTTACTCCTTTTAGTTGCTTTTGTAGGAAAATTCCCTACGCATAGACCGTCACTTGAGGATATTCAAAAAAAAAAAATTAACCTCAACCTCAATGGTTAGTTTTCTATTTTTATTCTTAATCACAGGCATGTGTTAATCAAACTTGTTAATAACCTAGACAACTGCCATGTGTTTGCTTAAAATTTTTACTTTGTATATAATTATTACATGAAGATTTTTAAGTGAACTCCAACCTTTGATGTGCAAATTGAATCACCCATTATTCCTATCTGGATTTCTTTACCTAACTTGTGACCCCATCTCCTCTCCCCACATATTTTGAATGGTTTAGGTTCTACGTTTGGTCAGCCTCTTAAGATTGATCATGATACGTCATCTGGCTGTAGGCCTTCAGTGGTTCGTGTACTGGTTGAGCTAGATGTTATGAAATCTTATCCTGTTAGGGTGATGGTTGGTCTGGAAACATTAGGGTATATACAATCAGTTGTGATAGAGGATTTCCCTATTATTGCTCACATTGCAAGTCTCTCGGGCACTCTAAATCTTAATGCAAAATCTTTCATCTCCATTTAGCTTTAGCTCATACTATTTTGATTGAGGCTGGTGAACCTATTTTAATTAATTTTAATCTTATGGATAACTATGTTGATGGAATTTAGCCTTTAGCTTGTGTGGTGGTGCCTGAACATATTTTGAATAATGTTGATATTTTTGATACCCCTGTTGTTGGCATTCAGCCTTTGGATCATATAGTGTTGCATGTGGATACGGCTGACACTCCAGCAGCTATAGATTCTATGGTTCCTCCTTTGGATGTCTCAGTGGAGGATCATATTCATGCAGTTTGCTCCCATATTTGTGCGAATGCTATTGTGTTGGAGGGAGCTTGTGCGCTTGCTGCTCCAATTATTGGTGAGGATTTCCCTAGTGACGGTAGTTCTGGTGAATTTTTGGTGGATAATAATGAGGGTTAATGTGGTGCTAATATGGTCATGGATGATAGATCCATTTATTTAAGTGGGTCTACTGATGCTTCTCCTGTAACTGTTTCAAGTACATCTATGGGGGTTTTTACGTCTGCTCAATTTGTTGATGTGCTGGTGGCACTAAATTTTGATGTTGCATTGCAAGCTCAATTAGGTAAGTTAAGAGATTGCTCTATAGACCATTCAGATTGCTTGGATGTTTCCCCGGTTAGCTTGGATGGGGATCGAGCTGTCTTTATTGATTCGTTTGAGGGTCTTCATGAAGCTTATAAGTTGCAAGTGGATCCTCTTATATGAAATGACTTTTCATTGATTGGGGGAAATCATCTTAGTCAGAAATTCAAATAAGTTTTTTGTATTTCCTTTTGTTTGGATGATGTGGTTGATTGGTTTCATAAAATAAATTATCTTATATATATATATATATATATATATATATATATATATATATAACAACCTCAACAATAGATTGAATAGAATAAGTTACTACAATGATTATAAGTTTCAATTGTAAGGAAATGATTATATGAGGTACCTTTACTCAAACAGCTACCATTATGATGTTCAAATAAATTTCCTAACATTATCTATGTCCTTAGCTAGTCCTAATATATATTTTTCATGTTTTATCTTGATTGACTTCATTAGACCTAAATAATAGAATGAGCTTTCAATTCCTCTCTCATTTGATTTATTTCTTTTATACACATTGTAAATGATTATGACAATTTTTTAAGTAGGTTTATGAGAACTAATTTGGCTCAGGATCAAAGCCAACATGAAACACCTAACATATCTTGGGATCCATATAAGCATTTTATAACTATCAACATAATGTTTTATTCATCAATCAATATTGCTTCTATAGAATTTAAATCACCGACCTATAAATGACTTGGTCATAATTGAACATTGAAAGAAGTTAGATCCTTCTAAAATACTAGCCTTAACAATTAGGACCATATTTGGTGAATACAAATCTAAACCATTAAATTGAAAGAGTTTCCCCTTGGAAATGAAATCATAGGTTAATAATAATATTAAAAAGATACATTAACCTTCTTTTGAACTTTGATTGGACCCTTTGGCACAATTGAACACAAGTTAACATACTTAACTATATAAGACAATCCTATTAAATTTAGTAAAATTTGTCAACTTATTTATTTTGAACTCCTTATAAGCTAGAGACAAATTTTATGACCATAGTTAACCCTTGAATTAGCCAATTACTTTGCCTAGCCATTTTAAATCTATGATGTTCTAAAGTCCAATTTAACCAATTTGACATGCATAAACAAATTGACTCAATTAAACTTTGAAAGCAAGTTAAATTAATTAATTATAAATTAACTGAGCTTAGTTAGCCCACAACCAAGCCCATTTGACTAATTAGCTCATTTTCCCTAATTAACCCAAAAAAGTTATAGGAACAAAATTAACAAAATTTCATCAACTTTGTTGGAATTAAAACTTCCAAATATTTTAAATATATGTAGATAGATAAACTAAACTTTGTTTCTCCTATGTTATGGTTAATTGAACATAATTGAGTAAACTTAGTCAAAGTGACTTCATGGGCATTGAACCATTTTGAGCAATGTAACCATAGTTGATCGAATTTCTTAGCCTAATCATCATTGAACCTTTAAATGAAATTAAATCATGAACAATTGTTTATTGGATGGTATGTTAAACTAAGTTGGAACATGCATTCCATAGCGATATACATCACATGAAAGAATTTCACCTATTTGAAGTTTGTTGGACCAATTAAAATAAATTGAAAATTTGATTCAAATTGAACCTTCCTTATAATTTTTAATTACTAATCCAAATAAAATGGATTCTTATAATCCATTGTCCTAATCATGGTCAACCATTTTGACCTTAAAAAAACACTAAACCCTTGTGACTAAACATCAACCCAGTTGGACTTGGACCTTTAAACACTCGAATCAATGGACCCTATATAAGCATCAAGTTGATGCTTGGTAGTAGGTGTCCTAAGGGCCCAATTTAGGACAATCTCATTTAATCACAAGTTTGATAATATTTTGTTAAATAAATTAAATTGACTCATAAAAATACACTTTCGAAAGTAAATTAGCTCAATCAAGCAAGCAAATTATATTGAATCGAAGGTCATGAATGTTGAATAGGATTTTTTAGAAAATAGCTCTAATTGTTTTAACTTAATTAACTTTATGAAAGGGTGTCAATTTGACCAAATCGATTAACATGTCCTGTTTGAATTAATGAGAATTAAAATTGAGTTAACACCACTACAAGACCAAATTAATTATTCAAATAGTTCTATTTTATTCCTAATACACTAATTAAAATCTTTTAGCAACCCTAACCTTGGTTAAGGACATTTAGCCATTGATAATGACAACCAAACTAAGCTTGGAAGTGGATTTGAAATAATACACAAATCCAATAAAATTCTCCACAACTTCCTTCAAGTATAATACCAAACTCGTCGTCTAAATATTCTTATCACATTCTTAACCATTGATTAAGACATATGAAGATTAATCCAAGGGGTTTAACTATGGGTCAGTCATAACAAGGTATAAATAGGACCAATATGGGGCAAGTTTGTGGATAAATTCTTTCTTATTCCCAAAACCTTATGAAGCTCATAAGAGCCCCTAGCTATCCTATACTTTCCAATAATCCCATTATCACCAAGAAAATCCTCAACAATGTTAGGTCTTACTTCACTAATTATGAGGAATTTATCCTGAAAAGCCCAATGCTTAAGTATGTAGAATTTTCTTACCCTAGCTAGAGCTTCATGGTGCTGGACTATGGGGAAATCTAGGTCAAAATTAGTTGAGCATAAACCCTAGAATTGTAGCTATTAATTCCCTCTAGAGTCCAACATTGATAAATATTCATGTAGTAATCCTTACAGAGAGAAATCTATCCAAAATTCTTCTTATCAATTAACCTTAACCTTGCCTAAATCCCTAGTCATCCCCTAATGAAAAGAATCAAAAATTAGACCTATTTAAAATACATCCATTCACACATTTATTAATATGGAGTTTTTCTTAAGAATTTTTTCTTCATGATCATACTAGTGGACTAAATCACATTTAATTTTATCCTTGGACACATTAAACCTAGTAAAATTTAGGAAAAATACTTTCACATCAATGTTTTAATATTTTTTTCTTAAATCATTATATTTTATTTATTTCAAACATCAATGGATTGAGAAAGTTCACAATTTCATTTGAGACATTAATGAGACCATTTTAAATCGCTAAAGACTATGCATAGCTTGTGGAATCATGAATTATATTTAATAATTTTTCAAAGGCATATAATCACTATTCCAAAATGCAAATATTTAGGATTTAGATTTAGAGATTCTACAAAATGTATGGATGATTATTAGTATGATTTTGAACATCCCTAAATTAATTAGAAAGTTTTAGTGTTCATTTTGAAAGTGTTATGGCATACCAAGTATTACGTGGAATCTAATAAAATAAAATATCGAAAGCACAAAATAAAAAGATAATTTTTTAAAAAACTTTAAATCTCTTTTTTTTTTTCAAACTTTATATAAGAACTTTAACTAAGAATTTAATAACCACAAATAACATTGATATAAGCAATGCAAACAAAAATGAAGGAAAGTAAATGTAATAAAGTAAACTAAATAAAAATCAAATTTTTATAGTGGTATGGTATAAATTGAGAATGTTTTGAATTTCTGGAATGAATCACTCTAATTTACAAAGAACTTAACTCAAGTGAACCAAGAATAATAATCAACAATTACATATCCAATTTTTTTCTTCCAGACTCTTGCTCTAATAGGTCAAAACAAATCCATGTGAAGTACTTCTAATAGCTTAATGGTGACTACATCTTTACACCATAGTAAAAATGTTTTTATTAATGCCATTTATGCCAAAAAATGGCCAAAATTCACAAGGAATTAGTATTTCTGATGAATATCATATGAATGTTTTTCCTCTAGTAAAACACGTGTCAAAAAAGTGCTACCTCTGCTAAAAATATTTCTGATGGATTTCTAGCAAAAATAATCCTTTGGTAATATTTACAGTAGCATTTTTCATAAAAAAAAAAATTAAAAAAAAAAAAGAATTATGTCATGAGCAAGTAAGACTACCTGCTAAATTTAGGTAAGCTGGACAACCTAACCTCCCCACTTCAGGGTACCCCCTCAAACCCGCTCCACCCCAGTCCGCCATAGCATACCAACCCTCCTGCCTACGGGCTCAGTGCCTATAGCTGGGCTTAAACCCCTCCCTTTGACATTTTCAATGCATAACCATTAGGCCACTTAGGCAAAGCTACTTAAAGGGCTACATTTTTTATTTAAAATATAACTTGTATAATATTAAAAGTACTTATTATTTTAAAAGTAAAACTAAATTTTTTGGAAGATCAAAATAATTAATTTATTAAATTTAATTTAATAATCAATTATTAAATTAGTTAATTTAATTTAAATATTTTAATTTGATAATAATTTATTAAATTATTTTGCTTAATTTAACTAAATAAATAATTTTAAAATTTTATTACTGTCATTTTTTAGAAAAAAATAATTTCCATCTGGAATCTACCAGAAATTCCATCATATATCTTCCAGAAATTCCATCAAAAACAAATCCATCAGAAAGATAATATAAAATCCACTGGAAATTCATTAGAAATTCGATGGAGTTTTTTTCTCTAGACTTTTACCATGATTTATCAACAGTGGACTTCAAATAACTAGTGTGATTATGGATGACTTCTCTAATGTGCTAGATTTTTTATGAGAGAAGTTAGTGAGAGAAGTTATGTGAGAGAAGCTCTGGTTTTTTTCGGGATAATTTGAAATTTTAAATTGCGGGATTCCTGGTTTCCCGATGGTGAGCAACGGTCGCCGGTCATCTTTAGCCGGCGTACCACCTGAAGATCATCGATCAACTGGACACTCGAATTCTGGCATTGTTCTTGGAGGATCGTCGTCTCCACCTACTTTTGGAGACGGTAGTATTTCATTTAACAGAATGAATATCAGATTGAACAAGCCTTTGATGATCAATGAGGGAGGTTTACTGCTGAAGAAGAAAGAGCCTGAAGTGATCGGAAAAGGTAAAGGTTTAATGCAAGAAGGCAAATTGGAAGCAATATGTTCCAAAAGGATGGAATTGTAAAGTTATGGAGAAGCTGTCAAAAATTCCGCTACTGTCTTAGAGAAAGAAGCAAAACAATCAATGATAATAGAGGATAGATCATCATTTTGTTATGAGAAGGAAGATAATCTGGTCAATTCGACAAAAAAGCCTGAGGAAGCTGTGAATAAGGAAGGAGATAAAGTTTCAACATCTGGAACATGTAAAAATTCTAAATTGAATGAAGTCCGAAAATGCAGCAATGGAGATTTAGCTGGATGCGCTATCATGAATGTGGAAATGCCTAAAAGACTTGTCACTGGAAACAACTTTAACGCCTGGGAGAAGAAACAAAATATCAGAGTTGATGAATTGGACTTCGGCAACTTCTTATCAGAAGATGGGAAAACGATTAAGCTCCATGAGCAAAAGATGGCTGAAAATTCAAATAAGCTTACAAACTCATTAGTTGTCAAAATCTTTGGTGATGACATTTCCTTTTCCTCAATCAGTTTTGAGCTGAGAAAGCAATGGTCTGTGTTTGGAAAATTTCATATTACAATACTAGGAAAAGGATGGATGCTTTGCTCGTTTTATGATCCTAGCCATGTGGAAGCAGTATTAACCAATGGGCCTTGGTTTGTAAATGGCAACATTGTTGGAATTGATAGGTGGACTCAAAGCTTCAATCCAAATTCTCTTAAAGGACTCACATCTCCTATTTGGATATGACTTCCAAATCTACCATTACATTGTTGGGATGAAATCAACATTTGCCGTATAGCATCTATGGTAGGCAAGCCTTACTTGATCGATGGAAACATGTTTCAATGGTCAAGAAGAGAATTTGGAAGAATATGTGTTCGAATTGAACTAGATGCTAAACTTCCTACTGGTGTACGGGTAGAAGGAGCTAATGACAAATTCTATCAAAAGATTGAATATGAAAAGATCTCAAGCTTATGCTATGGATGCGGAAAGATCGGTCATAGCAAGGAGAATTGTACCAATTATAACAAAGAGAACAAAATAAAGAATGATCAGCCAGATAAGGCGAATCAGGTAATATCATCTGAATTGGTTGGTATCAATCAACCTTGTGATACGGTGGAAGGGGAAGACAAGGAAGATTATGGTCCGTGGATGATAGTGGATTATAGCAAGAAAAAACCATTTCGCATCTATCCTAGGAAGCAACCTCAAAGGCAAGAGCAAAGCAAAACGTATGCTCCAGTGAAGAAGACCAATTTGAAAGGAGATAAATTGGTGAAAGTTAATGTTGCAAATCTGGAAACAGAGAAGCTACAATCTTTCATCAGAGAGGAGGATATAAATGTTCAAGCTACTTCAGAAGTTCATTTTACCAGGAATTCTAACGGGATCACTGATGATAACAGCTTTAATGTTCTAAATGATCTTATAGAAGAAGGAGAGGTTGCTCCTGATAAAGAAAAAGAAGGAAAAACTATCAATACTGGTAACAATGAAGATGCTGCAACAGAGGAAGGTATTCAGAGCTGTACAGAATTGGCTGTCTTGGAGAATGAAAAGTCTTTGAAGATTGAAAGTATAGGAAAGGAAGAACAATCCCTCTCAACAAAGAAGAAAATTTCAAAGCAACTGAAGAACTTGGGACCCATAAACTCATCTACCAGATCTAGAAGATTGGAGCTTGAAGGAAAAGGTAGCTTGGGGAGGAATCCCCCTAATCCCTTTTAATGTATTCCATTGCTTTTTGGAATTATAGAGGAGCAAGGAAGAAGAATTCTTCTCTATATATCAAGGAATTTATCAAAATTCATGATGTTTACTTCTTGGGTTTGTTTGAAACCAAAATAAATTCTATTAATAGAATGGATGTTAATCTTTTGATTGGTGATGAATGGGATTTTATTTTCATTCCATCTTCGGGTTTGTCTGGTGGAATTATAATTCTTTGGAAGAGCAAAGTTGCTGAATTTTCAGTCATTGATCACTCTTCTCAAGTGATCATTGGAGATTTGAAGGTCCAAAATAAATGTATATGGAGAATCGCATCAGTATATGGCAGCATAGATGTACATAAAAGAAAGGAATTATGGGGAATGTTGAGTAAAAATTCTGATAAATATATACCTATGGCAATAGGTGGAGACTTCAATTGTATCTTAGCTAAAGAGGATAAAATTGGTGGCAGGAGATTTCTTTTCTCCCAAGGACCAAGAGACATGAAGAATTGCTTAATAGAAAATGATCTTCATGAGGTGGGTTTTATAGGACCCAAATACACTTGGTGCAATAACAAAAGTGATGGAGCTAGAATTCTTGAAAGACTTGATAGATGCTTTGTCAACTCCAAAGCTTTAAGTTCCTCTCATAGATTGGTTACTAGGCATTTGGCTAGAATTGCCTCGGACCATTGTCCAATTATTTTAAATATTCTTGATTTGTTTCCTAGAATCAAAAGAAATATCAAATTTGAAGATTGTTGGGTGTCCTACAAAGCATCTTTTACAGTGGTGAAAAAGGAATGGAATAAAAACTATGGTGATAGTTCTCAAGTGCTTAACAAGAAATTTCAAAGATCTTTGAAATCTCTATTCTATTGGAGCAAGGCTAAACATAAAGATCTTAACAAGCATAAAGAGGAACTAATGGTGGAAATCTTGGAACTCTAGAACAAAGAAGCCACGGAAAGTACTCTTTCGGAAATGGAGCATTGCAATCTCAAAAACAAGGTTTATGAGGTGAATTCCACTTTGGCTAGATTAAATGATTGGTGGAAGCAAAGATCCAACGTGAAGTGGCTTGTGGATGGTGATAGTAATTCAAAGTTTTTTCATGCTTATGCTAGTGCAAGAAGGAATTCTAACAGAATTATCAAAATTAAAAATGAATATGGTGAAGTAGTGGAAGAACAAGAACAGATTGAAGACTCCTTTCTCAAATACTTTGGTAAAAAATGGGAAGATTAAAACTACAACTTCCACGGATGGCCTGAGGTTAATGCTCAATTGAATGAAGAGGAAAGAAGATAGCTAGAAGCAGATTTTTGTGTAGAAGAAGTGGAAAGAGTGCTGAAACAAGTTGGAGGCAACATCTCACCGGGCAAGGATGGAATCACTTACTCCTTCATGAAAGCTTATTGGAATATAATAAAAGAGGATTTTTGGAATGCTCTTAAACATTTTCTTAGCAATGGGATATTAAATGAAGATTGGAAGAAGACTCTCATTGTTCACATTCCAAAGGTATCAAATCCTATTCTACCTTCTAACTATAGACCCATTAGCCTTTGTAACTCGGTTTACAAAGTGGCAGCAAGGGTCCTCTTAAATAGGCTTAGTGAGGTTATTCCTAAGCTAATTACAAGAGAGCAAGCAGCTTTTATTCGTGGAAGATCTCTATCCGATCATGTGCTTATAGCTCAAGAAGTCTTCTACAAATTTAGAATCTCTAAAGCAAATAAAGGTATGGTCTCATTCAAAATAGACATGGAACAAGCATATGACTCAATATCTTGGGGAGCTCTTACAAAAGTATTGCTCTACTTTAATTTTCCTCCAAAATTTTCTAGTCTTCTCATGAGTTGTGTAAAAGATCCGAAATTTGCTTTGATTATCAATGGAAGATATTCTAATTGGATTAAAGCTAAGAGTGGTCTTAGACAAGGATGTCCTTTGTCTCCTACTCTTTTTATTCTTTGTGCTCAACTATTATCTAATGCTTTTGCTCAAAGCAATTGTGGTATTAAAATCAATACCAACGGTCCAAAAATATCTCTTTTATTATTTGCTGATGATGTGGTTATATTCTCTGAAGCCAGTAAAAATGCAATTAAGAAGGTGAAGAAGATTCTAGTCAATTTCTACAATTGGACAGGCCAACGGGTGAACAATAGCAAGTCTTCCATGTTGTTTGGAAAACATGTAGATAGAAGAAAGAAGAAAATCATTGCAAAAACTATGAACTTCAAAACTGTCAAAGAATTCAACTATTTGGGAATAAAAATGACATTAAGGAGACTTTCTTATGATGACTTCCAATTAATCATAGATAAAACCTTCAAGCTACTGAACATTTGGGGAAGCAAAATTCTTTCAGTTGCGGGTAAAATAACCCTTGTGAAAACCGTTCTACTGGCTTTACCAACTTACTATGGTACTCATTCATTGCTGCCGAAAAAAATTCTTGATGATCTAGAGAAAATATGCAGAGACTTTATATGGAGAAAAGCTAAAGGAAATTCGGGTATACACTATGTTAGTTGGGAAGAAATGTGTAAACCTGTTAATGAAGGAGGAAGAGGATTATTCTCATGCTCGGCAAAAAAGAAAGCATTAAGATCAATATTAGCTTGGAGGTATTTTAAAAACAAGGATTCTCTTTTACAAGAAGTTTTTGCTGCCAAATATGATGAAAAACTGAAAATGGGGAGTAATAGAATCAATTATTCACCTTCTTGGAAACTCTTGAATGAAGGTTATAATATGCTTAAACCAATTGTTAGATGGAGATTGGCTAATGGTGAAAAAGTGGAGGTGTTTAATGATACTTGGATCTTAGATAAAAGTATCAACCGTTGGCCTACATTTGTGGTACCTCATGAAGAAGAAGCTTTTTATGTCAAAGAATTAATCCACAACGGCTCCTGGAATGTACCAAAATTGGTTGATATGTTTGGAACAAAGTTGGTATCACTTATCCTTCAATTGAAGATAGATCAAGGTAGTGGAAAAGATGAAATGGAGCTTGTTCAGCACAATTCTGGTTTGACAGTGGCGGGAATGGCGTTCAAAGCTATAAACCATCATAACAGAGAACAGAACCACTGGAATTGGTTTAAAAATATCAAGTTGAATGCTCTGGTGGAATTATTTTGGTGGAAAATATTCAAAAATGCTATTCCTACTTTTAAATACTTACATCGGAGGAGACTAAGAGATAATGCAGAATGTCCAAGAGGATGCACAACTATTGAAGACCAAGAACATGTTTTATGTACATGTTTAAAGCTTAAAGAGGTAATTAATCTTCTTAATCTCTGGGGTTTTTGTATTCCAAAATTTCGGAATTATGAAGATTGCATTAAATGGCTAGAAATGGTAGCACGGAAGAGAGGATTGGTAGCTAGCTTATATTGCAATGCTGTTTTCTTATCTTGGAAATCTAGAAATAAGAAAATTCATGAAGGAATGGAGGAAAGCTCTACTTTTATTGCTTCCAATGCTATTTGCTACACATCTATTCTTAATAACTTTAATCACTTCTCAACGGGCAACTGGGATGTCAATCAATCGAAGAGATTGTCTAATTCTTGGCAACCCCCTCCACCCGAATGGCTAAAAGTTAATGTAGATGCTTCTCTCTTAACTTCTTATAAAGCTGGATTGGCGGGTGTATTCAGAGATTGTAAAGGAAGATTCTTATATGTGTTTGGAATCAAATGTATACATTGGGATATTGCAAAATTGGAGCTTCTTGCAATTTATTCTTTGAAGGAACAAATGAAGGATTGGATGTTCCAGTACAAAGGAATTATAATTGAAGGTGACAACTCCAACATCATCTCTTTCATTCAAAAGACTTGGGAAAAAGGTAACATTGTTAAGGATGACCTTGATTTCCTTAAAAATTTCAATTTTGTTATCTTTAATTGTATTATTAGAGATAACAATAAATTAGCTAATTATTGTGCCAACTTAGCTCTTTTTAGTAGCTTTTCTTGGGATGATATCTCTATCAATAAGGTTCCTCCTTTCTTGGACATTTTGAAGGAGGAATCCAACATCTAGTTGTATCTTGTTATCTTCTTTAATATAAGCTAGCGCCTCTAATTAAATTGAAATGGGTGATCTTCCTAAGAGTCTTTGTAATTATATGGCATAGTCTCCTACACCACAACCATGATTTATCAAAAGTAGACTTCAAATAACAACATCATTTGACTTATTAATGCAATTCAAGTCAATCATGTGGACATTATTAATCCTAAAATCTTTTAACATAATTTTACCATTCAGTATTATTAAGTATTTTGTAGAAAGAAATTTTATATCAAATCACTTATTGTAAAGTTGACTTATGCTTAAATGAGTATGCTTTAATTCTTCAACAAGAAAAAAATTTTAATTAAAAAGCCATTTATCCTACACTTCATTGAATTATCATTTTCTTTCCAATTAATCAATTATGTCTATTTATTTCATATTCATGGTCAATGGATATTATGAAATGATGATTTTTACAAAATATTTATGCATAGAAGTTGTAATTTTTTGCTTAAAAGATGCATTGATTTTAAAACGTTCAGATTCTTTGTGATTAAGGAATTCTAATCACATGTTTAAAAGAATTCTGTGCATAAATAAAATAAATTATTTTTTTAGAAAATTATAATTTATTATTCCTTCTAGACATTAGTACATATAATTAATTTTATGGTATGATATCATGTTTAATGAGATTGTATATCTCATAAAAAGTAAAAAAAAAGAAGTAAAGTTTAATTATTGTGTTGATTTATTTAATTAATGTTTTATGAATATATAAGCTAGATGATGACTTATAGAAGGCTTAAATGTATGTAATTTTCTTAACAAATTGAAGATTAATTTAAATGTTGAGAAAATTAAATTAATAAATTCTTTTATATATTTTAGTCAATTGAAGTAATTATTATTGTTATTATTTAATTGATCTTTACATTAAGCATAAATCATTAATCACCAAAGTATTCGAATTAGAAAGTATTTGTGAATATCAAATTAAATTTATATAATTACTCAAGACTTTGTGTGCTAATGATGAATAACAATGAAATTTTTTGTAAATTCAATCATACTAATTAAAGTTCATTGGTTATAAATTACTTAAGGATTTCACAAAGGTTGATTAGTCAATTTTTAATCATGACCATAATTATAGTTAATTAATATATTTAATTAGATGTGTTTTATAAAATTGAAAATGCAAAAGAATTTATAAAATTTGTGAAAGAATTATCTCAATTTTAATATGATGATAAATTACGTGCTGGGACATTAATGAGTATGCTAACCACCATGAAGTTTGATGGTTCACATACTATGCATGAGCACATTATTAAAATGACAAATATTACAATAAGATTAAATTCCATGTGAATGAATGTGAGTGATAGTTTTCAAGTACAATTTATTGTAAACTCCTTGCCTCTTGAATATAGTTCAATCCAAATAAATTACAATACTATTAAATATAAATGGAATGTGGCAGAATTACAAAGTATGCTTATTCAAGATGAATTTAAGCTTAAGAAATAAGAAATTCACTCAATTAGTCTCATGGGTGGACTAGAAGTTAGAAAGAAACTAATAAAGAAGGATGCTAAGGGCTATAAAGAACTCTTGAAGGCTAATGTTTCATCTAGTAAAATTCAGAAGAAGGGACCAATAAATGATAAATGTCATTTCCTTCACAAGAATAGAGACTATTAGATAGATTGGCAAAAACATAAAACTTGGCTCAAAAATAAAGGTAAGCCTAGTGCTTTTGTATGTTTTGAATTAAATTAGGCAGAAATTCCTTATAATTTGGTGAATTAATTCTAGTTGTACCACACATGTTTCTAATATCATGCAGAGATTCCTTACCATCCCAAATGAAAAGTTTGTCTTCATGGATAATAGAGTCAAAGCTCCAATTAACACCATTGGAACATATTGCTTAATTTTAGATATTATACATCATTTAGATCATTTTCAAACTCTTTATGTTTTATCTATTACTAGAAATTTAGTTTTTTATCTAAACCTAATATAGTTGGATATTATTTTAAGTTTGGAAATGGATGTTTTAGTTTGTTTAAGCATAATTATTTTATTGGCTCTAGTGTTCTTTGTAATGGTTTATATAAATTTAAACTTAATAATTTATTTTCTAAAATATTATTGGCATTGCATCATTATATTTGTATAAACTGTTGTTTGGTTGATGAAAGATCTACATATTTATGGTACAAATGATTAAGTCCTATATTAAATAAAATAGTACAAAGATTAGTGAAAAATAATATTTTTCTTGATTTAGATTTCACTGATCTTAGTTTATGGGTGGATTGTATTAAAGAAAAATCTACATAATATATAATTAAAAAAACAGCCACAAGAAGCACATAAATATTAGCTATTATACACAATGATATATGTGGACCTTTTTATATTTTCTCTTTTAATGGAGAAAAATATTTCATTAACATTACTGACAATTTTTGACATTATGATTGTATCTATTTGTTACATAAAAAATCTTAGTGTCTAAATGCTCTAGAGGAATTTATTAATGTTGTAATGAGATAATTAGATAAAAAAAGTGAAAATTATTATATTTAAATTGAGTGATGAATATTATGAAAGATGTTATAAATATAGATAATGTCCTGATCCATTTGATAAATTCTTAGAAAGGTATGCCATATGTGTCAATACATAATGTAAGGTATATCATAATAAAATGGTAATGTATAAAGGTGAAATTGTACTTTAATTAATATAGTTATAAGTGTGATAATTATTCATCTTTACCCTTATCATAATGGATGTATGGATTAAAAACTATTATGATTTAAAAAATATTCTAAACTATGGACAAGACAAAAACTTAGCTTAAGGCACCAACATTTTAGGGGTGGCCAAAAAGAATTAAGAATTTATAATTTGCATGAGAAGAATTTGTATTTAAAAATAATTAGTGGATTTTTCCTTAGCTATTCTAAAAAAACTAAAAGGTATACTAATTATAGTACAAACATTATTGAAACTAAAAAGGTAAAATTTATTTAAAATAATGATATTAGTGGGAGTTCAGAATCACAAAATATATAAATTCAAGAAGTTAGGGTGAAAATTCCATTACCTAAAACTTCTTATAAACTTATTGTTCATATAATTATTGAATAATCTGATAACATGAAAGAATAATAAATGAATGAATTATTTTCTCATAAAAAAATTATCAATAAGGAACCTATAATTGATGAACCAAAAGAAATAGCATTAAAGCATTCTCAAAGAAAAAAAAAAACAAGTTATTTTTGAAGATTATGTGGTTTATTTATTAATATTATAAGCGCTTAATGTCCTCAAGTAGGTTTTGATATGTGTTTAAATTAAAAATTTGGAATGCTCTATAAGAATTAATATAAAAGATACCTTTCAATGAAAGAGTTTTTATTGGGGGAGATTTAAATAGATATGTTGATCAAGTCGTAGATGGTATTAAAAGCAGTCATGATGGCTATGGCTTTAAAGCAATTAATGAAAGAGGTAAGATCATATAAAATTTTTCTTCAGCTTATAATTTTATAATTGATAATATCTTACTTAAGAAAAGAGATAAACATCTCATCACTTATAAGAATGGATATAGTAAAACTCAAATTGTTTATTTTCTTAGAAGAAAAATAGATTGTTTTGATTACAAAGATTTTAAAGTTATTATGAGTGAATGTTTATGTACCAAACGTCATTTATTTATTTTGGACTTTAAGATTATTAAGCAAAATATAAAAAAAAAATAAATCATTATTCTAGAACTAAATGTTGCATTTAAAGAATATTAAGTAAAATATTTTTTAAAGTAAGATTTTAGATCTTATGATTTTATATGTATGAGGAAGCTAATGTTATGCAAGAAAAAGTAGCAAGTGATATTAAGAATATTACAAAAGATGTGTTTTAGTATCAAAGGAAAAAAACTACTAATAGTAAAAATAGTTAGTGGTGAAATTAAAATGTGTAAAAAAGATTAAAAAAATAAGAATATTCGTTATAAAAATTGGTTTAGCTATAAAAACTATAATAGTTGGAAAAAATATAAAGAAGCCCATAAGGAGTCTAAGAAAGCAATTTATAATGCAAAAATTTAGCTATTAATTAATTATATAATATTTTAGATACAAAGGAGTACAAAAGATATGTTTATATGTTAGCTAAATAAAGAGGTTGGAGTAGTAAGGATTTTTTCTAAGTGAAGTGTATTAAGAATGAAGATCAAAAGGTTCTTTTATTAGAAGTGGATGTTCAATAAAGGTAATAGAGATATTTTACTAAACTTCTTAATGAAGATTATGAGAATGTGATTGAATTAAGTGATCTTAAAGCCCTAAATGAAAATAAAGGCATTTGTTTTTATTAGCATATTAGTAAAACCAAAGTAAAAGAGGCTTAAAAGATAATGAAGGGTAGAAAAGCTGTTAGGCATGATGATATTCTAATAAACCTGTGGAAATACTTAGGAGATGAAGGAATTTCTTAGCTTATTATACTATTTAGTATTATTTGTGGACTAAAAAGATGCTAGATGACTGGAAAACAAGTGTGTTGATTCCAATTTTTTTAGAATAAAGGTGATGAACAAGATTGTGCGAATTATAGATTCATGCCATGTAGGTCTACTATAGAAGCTATAAATTATTTAGAGCTGTAATGGAGAAATATATAGAGAAAAAGGAGGATCTATAAATGATTTTTATAGATTTAGAGAAAGCATAAGATAAAGTTTCAATAGAAGTGTTATGAAGAGTTATTTGTATAAAGGGGTTATTAATTCTTATATTCAACTCATTAAGTACATGCATGTAGGAGCTATTACTTCTGTTCAAACACAAGGTTGTTTGACGAAGTATTTTCTTTTCAATTGGATTATTTCAAGCATCATCCTTAAGCCCATATCTTTTTGATTTAGTCATGGATGGTCTCACAAGGCATTTGCAAGAGGTTGTACCTTTGTGTATACTTTATGCTTATTATATTCTTCTTATTGATAAGATTAGAGCGGGAGTACAAAACAAAATTGAATTATGGAGGTTAACCTTGGAGTCTAAAGGCTTTCCTTTTAGTAGATAAAAAAATTGATATTTGGAGTGTAATTTAGTAATAATAGATCTAGTAGGAAGATTGTGACTTTGGGTGATCAAGTTGTTAATAAGAGCACATGTTTTAGATATCTTTGATCTATTATTCAGAGTGATGGTGAAAAAAATAGGGATACTATTAATAGAATTCAAGTTGGATAAATGAAGTGGAGGAATGCATCGGGCTTTTTGTGTGATAGAAAGTCCCTTTCAAACTTAAGGGAAAATTCTATAAGATGGTAGTGAGACCTGTAATGCTTTATGGTACAGAATGTTGGACATTAAAAGAGAAGCGTAATATTAAGTTAAGTATTACATAGATGAGGATGCTCAGGTGGATGATTGCCTTTACTCTTAAATATAAAATATGAAATGAGCATATATGTAAAAAGGTTGGAGTAGCTTTATTAGAAGAAAAAATTAGTGAGAGTAGGCTTAGATGATTTGGTCATATAAAATGGCAGCCTAGTTAGAAAAGTAGATGTATTAGATATGCCTTATGTTAAGAAAGGTAGAGGTAGACCTAAAAAGTTTTGGTTCGAAAATATTAAAAATTACCTTTATTTATTATATTTCAAAGAAAATTTTGACTCTTAATAGGACACAATGGACAAATGGATTCATGTAGCCGACACCATATAGTGGGATAAAGGCTTGGAGTTGTTGTTGTTATTATATGTGTTGTATTTATAAGAGTGAGAATATGACTAAGAAATTTATGATGATATAGTTTCATTTTAATAAGCCATGGAACATATTAATTTTAGAAAATAGTTAGCTATCATGAAAGAAAATTTAAAATAAATGGATCATAATAAAGTCTAGGGTGCTAAATTGCTTGAAAGTTCAAAAAAAGTTGGATGTGAATGAGTTTTTAAGACCAAATGTGACTCTAATAGCGATATAAAATAATATAAAGTTGACTTATTGTTATAAGTTCTAGTCAAAAAGATGGTATTGACTATAAAGAGATATTTTCATTTTTTTTAAAAGAACTCATTAAGAATAATTATGATTTAGAATTATAACAAATATATGTGAAAACTGCCTTTTTAAATGGAGATTTAGATGAATATGTTTATATGGATCAACATGAAAGTTTTCTAACTAATGCAATGGAATACATGGTGTGTAAACTTAAGAAATTAATTTACAAACTTAAACAAGCCTCTCGATAATGGTAAGTTTAATGATACTATCACTATCTTTGGATTTAGAGAAAGTATTATTGATCAATGTAGATATCTAAAGATCAGTAAAGAAAGTTTATATTTTTAATTCAATATCTTGCTTATCGCTAATGATCTTGATTTATTGTACGAAACCAATAAATTTCTCTCTAATTATTTTGAGATAAAAAGATGAATGTGAGGCATCCTATGAGATAGTAATTGAATTATTCCATAGTATATCTCAAGGATTGCCAGGATTATCTCAGAAAATACATATAAATAAAATTTTAAAGAGATTTAATATGGAAGAGGGTTTTGTATGTGTAGTTCTAATTTAGAAAGGATATAAATTGAGTCTTATGCAATGCCCAAAGAATGAATTATAATAAAAATAAATGGAACAAATTTCCTATGCATTTATTATTTATAGCTTAATATATTCTCAGACCTGCACTAGACAAAATATCATTCTTACAATGAGAATGTTTGGTAAATATTAAAGTAAACTAGAAATTGATCATTTGAATGTTGTATTGCTATTTTTTTAAGGAACTAAAGAACATATGATTACATATAGAAATTTTAATCATCTTGAGGTGATTGGATATTGATATTTAGATTTTGTTGGATGCTTGGATACTACAAAAACCACACACACACACACACACACAGATATATATATATATATATATATATTCCATTAGTTAGAATTGTTATTTCAAGGAAAAAGTGGAAAATAATCCATTATTGTTGCATCCACTATGGAAGATAAATTTGTGTCATGTTTTGAAGCAACAATTCAAGGATAATGGCTCTGAATTTTATTTTAGGACTTGGGGTTATCAATAATATTACCAAGCTATTGAAAGTTTGTTGTGCTAATACTGCAATACTATTATTTTCTAAAAATGACAACTATTCAAAGGGCTAAATATATGGAATTGAAATACTTTACCATTAACAAAGAAGTTCAAAAATAAAGAGTGTCAATTGAGAATATTATCACCATTATTATTATTGTTGATCCATCAATTAAAGGGTTACCTTTTATGATATTTAATGAATATGTTGAGATGATGGGTGTTATTGGAAAGCTTTATTGATTTTGTATTATGTCTATGATCTTGTATATTTAACACTCTAAGCTATTTAATGTACTATTTATGATACAAAATCTATTCTGTTATTCTCATATGTATGTACATAAAAGATTATCTTAATATTTGTAATATTTGCTTTAATAATATATTAATGTTAGTCCACTATCGATTTCTCACATTATGGATCATTTTAAGTATAAAATTAATTTTGCGATACATGTAATGAAATGTGTTACATTAATAATGTATAACCATCATGATTCTTATACGTTTTTACTTATCAATGAATAATGATTTAACTTTTTAATTTATATAGTGAAATATTTTTTTATTTAATAATGAATAAAGGTAAAACAATTATGTTTAATTAAAGGAAGATGTCTTATTGTCCCAAAATGTTTTGTAATATAAAGATGTTAGATCAAATGGTGTTGAAGATGTTCCTTGTGTTTCCAGTTTAAGAAATTTTGCGAATAATGAATAAAGTCGCAATCCCGTCACTAAATCTATTACTACCAAACTTACACTCCATATATTAAGTTTTTAATCTTTATACACTAAGGTTTACATCCATAATTCAAGTTTACTTTCATTTCCCTCTCTAGCCTTATCAACAAGAAGAATATCTTTACTCAATTCTCTACAACTTCACTCAAGGGCCATTCTTCTCCAATTTGGATAAGAATTCCTAATCTTCCACTATTATGTTGGGATGAAATCAACATCGTAAGGATTGCATCGCGTATTGGCACGCCACTTATGTTCGATGGCAACATGTTTCAATGTGGAAGATGAAAATTTGCAAGGATATGTGTCCGTGTGGAATTAGATAAACAATTACCATTGGGAGTTTATGTGTATGGAAGAGAGGGAAGGTTCTTTCAAAAGGTGGAATATGAAAAGGTGTCATCCTTTTGTTATAGATGTGGAAAGGTCGGCCATTTAAGCTTTAATTATAAGATCAATAATGGAGAAGACAAGTCCAGTAATCAAAATGTGATAGCTGTAACAAATTCAGAAAGACAAAGACAGGAAGAAAAGAAAGGAGAAATTGGAAAACAAGACAACTATGGACCTTGGATCCATGTTAATCATAAGAGAAAGATGAAGACAAAGGAGGTTCATAAGAAGTTTGTGTATGTTCCTAAAACTAGAAAAGCTCATGGCAGAACATTTATACAAAATGAGGAAGAGTGTAAAAAAGATGTTGAGGAAGACATTGTTGCATAAGAAACAACTATTTCGAGAAGGCTGGACACCAAAAAAATGAAGGACTCAAGACGTTATATGACTGATGAAGGCAATGATAATGTTCAGAAGAAGAAAATTAGTCAGATATCAGAAAACAATATGTTCGGGCTGCTGGATGGAATTGAAGAGGATGAGGTGACTCCTAGAGAGAAAAATAAAAATGCAATCTCTAACCTGGAAGAAGAAGAATTGGAAACATCTTGTATTAAGGAGGATGGAAATAAAGATGTGATAACAGATAATAGAATTTCTACTAAAGAGAATGCTGAAAATGCAGGAGATAAAGTTGTTGGATCTACTTCAGGTAGAGATTTTGTTTCTCTGGTAGGGATTTCAAAAATCAAGCTTAGCAAGGAGATCAAGACATTGGGTCATATTAGTTCTTCAATGAGAATCAGCAGGAATGAAGGTGGGAGTGGGAGGAAGATGGGGGGACCTTCCCCCTCGGTGCTCAAATGAGTTCAATTCTTTTTTGGAATTGTAGAGGGGCCAATAAGAGGGAGGCCTCTCTTTATTTGAAAGATGTTGTGAGGGACTGAGATGTCATGTTTATTGGATTAGTTGAAACAAAAATCTCTTCTACTAAAAAAGAAGAAGTTTGAAAAAGTTTGGGAAGTAATTCGGATGTATTCATTTACTCGTCTGACGGGCAATTATGAGGCATTATGACCATGCGGAGGACAGATTTAGCTAGGTTCTCAGTTTTAAAATGTTATTCTCAATGTGTAGTTGGGAGATGATATCTCTGAAGAATAATATGAAGTGGTTTATTTCTACGGTCTATGCTGACTGTGATCCGTAATAGGAGAAGTTTATGGGAGTTTTTGGGATCCATTTCCTGCAGCAATCTTCCTTCTATTTTAGGGGGAGATTTTAATTGTGCTCTATCTCTAGATGAAAAGAGGGGAGGGAAGAAGTTTAAATATTCTCTAGGACCACAAGAGATGAAAAACTTTATGAACCTCAATGATTATCATGAAATCGGGATTGTTGGAGCAAGATATACTTTGTGTAACAATAAAAGTGAAAGTGCGAGAATTTTGAAGAGGCTAGATAGGTGTTTGTTAAATACTAGAGATCTTCAAGTTATACCACAAGCTTCAACCAGACATTTGAATAGGATTGCATCGGATTATTGTCTGATCCACCTGAAGATCTTCAATCCTATGGAGAAAGTGGATCATTGCAGGAGGTTTGAAGATGTCAGGGTATCTTACCCGGCATCTGCAGCTAAAGTTCAGAAAATCTGGAATAAAAACTATGAAGGATACACAATGGAAAAATTAAATTCAAAGTTTGATAGAACATTGAAGGCTCTGTATTTCTGGAGTAGAGAAAAAAATAAAAATTTTGTCTGGAATAAAGGACAAACTGAAGAAGTAAGTAGCTGATCTGCAATTGGAAGAGTCTACCAGTGGTTTAAATGAGGAAAAATTGATGTTGCTTCGAGAGCTTAATCTTACACTTAGTAGAATCAACTCTTGGAGGAGACAAAGAGCTAAAGTCAAATGGTGGAGTGATGGAGACAGGAATTCAAAGTTCTTTCATGCAGTGGCTAATGGCAGGAGGAATTCTAATGTTATTCATCAAATGAAGGATAATCAAGGTGATTTGGTTTATTCGCAAACTGAAATAGAGAGTATATTGCTGTAGTTTTTAAAAACAAATGGAGGAGGGAATGCAAATTATCTGGATGGCCTAGTCATCTCTATAAACTAAGCTCAGAAGACTCTAAATTATCTTTCCAGGAAGTGGAGGCTGTGGTGAGAGAGCTTGGTTCGAACATTTCCCCAGGTATGGATGGGATAACTTACTCATTCTTTAAACAATATTGGAAGATTATTAGTCAGGATGTTTGGATTGTGATCTAATTTTTCTTGACTCATGGGAAGATGAATGATGAATAGAAAAATATGATGGTGGTTCTTATTCCTAAGAGTAAAAATCCTGTTCTTCCTTCTCACTACTGTCCGATCAGTTTATTCTTGTCTATTTACAAGGTGAATGCTAAAATCATTTTAAATAAACTTATGAAAGTCATTTACAAAATAGTTTCAGAGGAGCAAACGGCTTTCATTAAAGGAAGATCATTTTCGGACAATATTTTATTGGTTCATGAACTGTTTAACAAATTTAGATTTTCAAAATCTAAAAATTGATTGATTGCAATTAAAATAGATATGGAGCAAGCTTATGATAGTATGGCTTGGCCAACTATCAAGCAAGTGTTGAATTACTTTGGCTTTCCTATAAAATTTTCTAATCTAATTTTGGAATGTTTTATGGATCCCAAATTTTCAATTATGTTGAATGGTATAAAGTCGGATTGGTATGAGGCTAAAAGTGGGCTTCGTCAAGGATGCCCTCTATCTCCATATATTTTTCTTCTTTGCTCTCAATTGATATCTGATGAGTTTCATAGCTATGGGAAGGAATTGGGAATTAAAGTAGCTCCTAATGATCCTAGGATAAATCACTTGATGTATGCTGATGATATTCTGCTGTTTTTGAAAGCCAAGCAAGATCAGGTGAGAAGGATCAGGAAAATAATCTCAAAATAATATTTATGGACGGGACAAGCTGTTAACATGGGAAAATCTCATGTATTTTTTTGGAAAATGATGGGGAGGAAAGCTAGGAAAAAAGTTCAGAAAATATTAAAATTCAAATAAATGAAGGAGATTAGCTATCTTGGGATCAAAATGACCTTCAGGAGGATGTTGTCATCGGATTTCTTGAACATTATTGATAAAATTGTTGGTAAACTCAATGTATGGGGTAATAAATTCATCTCATTAGCTGGGAGAATTGTACCATTCAACATAATTGGGATCAAAATGACCTTCAGGAGGATGTTGTCATCGAATTCCTGCAAGCCATTCCTATTTTTTGTGTCCCGTTCTTTGGTTCCAATGAATATTTTGAGGATAATTGACAAGCTTTGTAGAGACTTTATCTGGAACAAGACTGGAAATAATCAAGGTATGCATTATCTTTCATGGGAGGAGCTTTGCAAACCTGTTTCTGATGGTGGAAGGGGACTGCGTCGAGCTGTTTCTATTTCAGGATCTCTTAGAGCCAAATTTGCTTGGAGCTTTTTCAATAACTCTGATTCTTTATTAAATATATCAATTATAGCTAAATATGGGAGTATCTGGAATGCATAAGTCAAGAAAAATAGCTCAATTACTTGGAAAATTCTCCTAAGTGGCATGGAAGCTCTCAAATATATGGTGAGATGGAAGATTGGTTCTGGATATTCTATCAACATTATAAAAGACATTTGGATCTTAGACAAATGTCTTGATAAATGGTCAACATTTATTGCATTTTCTAATTAAGAATTTCCAAAATTAATGGAGTTTATAGATGACGGAAGCTAGAATTTATCAAAGTTAAGAAGGTGGTTTGGACAGAGTTTGGTGGATAGTATATCTCAAATTCAAATTTATAATAACTGTTACGACCAGTTAGAACTGATGTTGAAATTATTTGGAAATACTAACTCAGCTATGTTGGCTAAGAACAACAAAGTTCATGAGGAGAAGGAGTACTACAAATGGTTCAAGGAGTTCAAACTTTCTCCACAGGTTGAATGCTTTTGGTGGCGTTTGCTCAATAACGCTTTACCTACCAATGATTTCTTATTTTATAGGAGGATGTTAAGTAACAACTCTTTTCCTAGGGGTTGTTTGGAAACTGAAAATATCAATCATTTGGTAGGGAATTGCTCTTTGATTATTTTGGTTACAGTCAAGCTGAACATGTGAGTGTTCAATAATCCAACAATTACTTTGTTAATTCAGTGTATTTCAGAACTGAAGGTTTTATCTGGAAGAAATAAATTCATTAGTAATTTGTATTGCTCTATGGTATTTGTTTCTTGGAAAAGCAGGAATCGGGTTAAGCATGGAGAAGAAGAATTCGGTGGGAGTTTCATTGCATCCAATGCTATCAGTATAGCCTCCAATGCTTTAAAATTTAATCTAATTTTGGGAATTTGAGGTACTAACCAGCTTCGAATGAACCATTCTTATTGGCACCCCCCTCCCCCCGATTGGATTAAATTCAACTTTGATGCAGCTCTATCACAGTCATATAAGGCAAGTATTGGTGGAGTGTTTTGAGATCATAAAGGGAGGTTCCTCTCAGCATTTGGTATTAAATGCTCTCATTGGGATATAGGAGCATTGGAACTTATGGCTTCTCAACATTTAAAAGTGGCTATTAAAGGATGGATGATGGAAGCTAAAGGATTAATCATAGAGGGATATATTTTTAATGTCATCAAGCATCTTCAAAAATCGAAGGAGAAGAATTATGGGAGCAATATGGAAGTTGATTTTGTAGACTTATCATTTCTTAAAGATTTTGGTTCATTCATTTTTATTTTTTGTTATAGAAATGCTAATAAGTTGGCACATTGTTGTGCTAATTTAGCTTTAGAAGAAAATTTTATTTGGGATGATCTCATGAGTAATAATGTTCCTCCAAGTTTTATGTCTATTCTTGTGGAGGATGGTGATAGATGTGCTATCACCTAGTAGCTTGTATCTAGGTTTATTTCCTCTTTTATTTTAATGCATTTGGCATTTCCATAAAAAAAAAAAAAACAAGAAGAATATCATCAACAAAAAGCATACACCAAGTTACATCCTCTTATAAATATCTAGTGAGAACATCCATGACTAAGGAAAAAATATATGGGCTTAAGGCTAATCCTTCATGTAATTTAACCGAAATAATAAAATACTTGGTCAAACCACCTTGTGCTTAAACACAAGTACTAGCTCATGCTTACATATCATTAATGATTTAAATATAAGTGTTACGAAATCCATTCTTTTCAAGAACTCTCCATAGCAATTTTCTTGGAATTTATTCACGTTCTTTCTCTAATCAATAGATATCATATGTAGATCCTAGTTATTCTCTCTATATTTCTCCATCAAACCTCTCAATAAATGTATGGCTTCCAT